GGGCAGAAGCAGACACTGAGGAATTGACAATTCCTTCTCTCCAGTCATTTCTCATCCAACCATCAGCACTTTCTCCTCATGCTCCCTCCTAGCTTCTTTAAAATAGGTTTTCCTTTACTCTTTACATTTTATAAAAGATGGCTCAAGTATTTACCCTCTTTCTCATGTATTTATATTATTTCCTAAACAGGAACCCATAGAATTACAGTTTACATTGCTGTTAAAATACCAGTACATCTGTTTTTATTCATTGCACACAGCCTTTCAGAAGTTCCTTTCTGAACAAAAGGTCTAACTTTATCTAAACTATTTCCAGTGAACACTTCTTCCTCTACAAAGTGTCATTCTACAATACTGGCTCAAAAATCAGACTTCCTTTGGGCCTTCTGATCCTCATTTTACTCATGGTAGGCTCAAGTGCATTACTTCTACAGGAATATATGCAAAGATTTTGTATAATATAGCATGTCATCAGTCTCACTGGTTATTATTTTAGTATAATACCAGGCAATAAATAAATGCCCAGTAAACCTTCACATTGAACTGCTCCCATCAGCACTAAGAACATACTCTTGGAATCTTCAACTTTGTAAGGTGTAAGATTCTTCACTGGAGGACAAGGTGGTCTTTCTGTGTGACTGTAGCTCTGCTCTCCAATTAATGACTAGTGGTTTATGCTCCTACAACAAAGAGTAAATTCAGATGCTCATGCTCAGCCTGTTAGGACTATTATGTGATTTTGAGTGTCAGTATATACAGGTCTTTCTCATATATTATTTATTGATTTTAGTTTTAATGTTTCCTTATTTAAGATACAGCATTAAAATTAGATATTCAAAACAGTGTCTGTACACCATCATTGAATCATTCATATACTACAATTTATCCTCACTAGCTTTCATATGTATATTCTCACCTTCAAAAGTATCTTATTTTAATTTTTTTACATTTTACTTAGTGGTATACCAGAAATCTCTTTTGTCAAACACACACACACACACACATACACACACACGATGTCTCCTGCTTCCCAGCCTAACTTTTGACATGATTCCACTGGGTGAAGGGGAATAGATTGTAAATCCTTCTTACTGTAGACATTAAGTATTGACTTAATACCTGCTTGCACTGGGATTGTCTGGATGCCAAGATATTTCTCTTTCTTATTACAACTCATAAAATATTCAAAATGCAGTAAAGATATAATTCAAATGATAAATTTTTCTTGAGATAAATGCTACAGAGAATATTTTCATTTGAGAATATGCAACAGGGTTTGGTTTTAGTAAATGATCCACAAGATACAATTTTGAGGTTCTCAGATTCTCCCATCAGGATGCCACACACTTATAGGTGATATTTAACATTCTTATGTCAGTCTTTTTTTCTTTATTTTATTTTTTATTTTTTTTATTGTGAAAATACTGTACAAAGGGGTTACAATTACATGGGCAAGATAATGAGTACATTTCTTATCAAGCATTGTGTCAGTCTTTTTTTCTAACATATTGTGAACTTTCCATTTTCAATTTCCAATCATTTGCTCCAGTATTGATACCACCTACAATTCAATGTATTTACAATGTGCTATCTGCAAGTTGAAGTGTTTCAATTCTTCCTTGTCTGATCTTTCTTCAGATTATGCCTTTTGCTTGCCTTATTTTCTGCTGGCACCTCCAGGAAAACATTGACTATTAGGAATGAGAGTGGCCTTTGTTCTCCCCCTAATCGCAGTGAGGGGAAGTGTTTAACAAACATATTTCACTGGAAATAGCAACATTTCCTTTCAAAGGTTGAAGAGTATCCTGAGTAGTGTGTGAGTCTGTGTGTATTTGTGAGTCTGTGTGTGTGTGTGTGTGTGTGTGTGTGTGTGTGTGTGTGTGAGGTTCCTGTTCAAGTGTTTCAAATTCCAGCTGATGCTCTTAAAAGGTACCACTTAGAGGGATTCACATATAATTTTGAATTTTTTATTCAACTCTCCATTTGGAGACTGGATTATTGATTTGGGGGTTTTGTTTTTGTTTTGTTTTTTATTTCATTTGTAGTAGATCTCCTCTTCCCTGCAGTTCCTTTGCATTTAAGTAGCACCAAACTTACAGTTGATCATCTCTTCCCAAGTACTTTCCTCTGAACCTTCAAATCATCAGTTTCATCTTTCTACTTCTATTAAATAGGACAATGGGAATAGTTAGCTATTGAGCCATTCAGAAGATTGAAGAAGATAACATATGCCAAGGGGAAGCACAATGCTTGCCAGATTAGCTTTGAATGAAAGTTGGTTAGTTCTATTCCTGACCTTTGTATGTATCTTGGGAACTTAAGAAAGGTAAAGTCAAGGTTTTTTAAAATTACAACTGGCAAATGAATTACATTGAATCTTCACATTAAAGGTCATCATCACTCACTCCTCTTCTAGCATATCGTACAACCCACTATCAAGTGGCTAATGTATTGAGAAGACTAAGTCCTACTTGGAGGTCATCCAAACCATTTTTCTCTCACAGTTCTCTATTCCCAAACTGTTAGTTTATACTTTTGGATATAAATATCATATGTACATCTTAAGTAATTGTCTAAAATTCAAGTTTACATATCCTGTCTTTCATATTCCTTAAAGTTTTCTTACATCTGTTACAGTAAAGTGAAACAAACAGATGTTGAGAGGAATATGTGTTAGATATTCCATTTTATATTTTTTACATCTTAGTATGCTTTACACAGAAATACTAAAGTTAACTAGGAACAAACATTTAGCTATGAGATCATTGTAATAATGTACTCCAAATAATTACAAAATGAAAGCAATTAGTACATGAAAAGAAATTACGCTTGAGCATTGACAGAGTCCTTGAAGATTATTTCTGTTTGTGTGAAGTAAACTCTTCATTATTCACTTGAGAATGTGATAATGATCACTGGTATATTTGAATGCACATGTGAATCTCTACTCTTCTGATGCTTTTCACCAAAGTCAAATAATAAAAGTCGAAGAGCTAGTATATAATCTTAATAACTACATTTTTACTATAAGATGAATGAATCCTTATTTCAAGAGGTAAGATTGACTTCTACGAATGAATCTATTATTTTTTCAATTTGACTCCTGCACCTGAGAAGATTACAACACAAAAAATTATCTAATTTATATACTTTAGTCTAGAATCAGAGGTCAAATCAAGCTATCCACTATCAAAGAAAAAACTTACCTGGGTGAACTTAAATTTCCATAGGAATATTCATAAAAATAAATAGGTACAATTCAGTTTCCCACTATTCCTTATTCATCCACTTTATGATCAGAATTTTAGATAGTCCTTAACCATACCTAAATTTAGACCTCAGCCTCAATGTTATTACATTCGCTAGCTTTCAAAGGATTTTAGGGCTTAATCTAAAGTAAGTATCTTGTAGAAAACTTGCTGTGTCTATTGGTTGAATGTTCTATTATTAACAGGAACAGATACATTAGTCAAAAATAATGCTATAAATCTAAAATGCTGGGCAATGTGATTCAAACTAAACCCTAGCTTTGTAAACCTAGGAAAATTTTTTATCCTTGTTTGCTGAAAATTTATTCCCCATTGTACTATTTTTTTGTCTTTGTCTTTTTTGGTACTGAGGATTGAACCCAGGACGTTGCACTTGTTAGGCAAGCTTGGTTCCACTGAGCTACATCCCAGCCCACCCCATTGTAATATTGAAGATAATATTCCTAAATGCTATAATACTGCCATTAGAAAATATTGTTGCATTCAGGAAATAGATTGTGTTTGAGAAAATAAAACTAACATTCATATTCTAAGTATTAGTCACATAATGTTTTACAGAGTAATTAGGCTGGGATTTGACATGATACAAGACAGCAAATGGAAACATTAAAAATACCTCATAAATTTACAGTTAATAACTTTATTTATAACTTTGATATGAGTTCCTTTCTATTTCTTCTGTTTTTCTATTAAGAACATGTATTTCCCATTTTAAAAACTGGTCTTAAAACACCTTTTACTGATTGGCTGTGTAAACTATGTGACTAAGGAAGTACTTCTGTTATAAATGAACAGATAGAAAGCTGAAAAACTAATCTGATATCCCTGGCTTACCTGTGATCTCAACTTCATTGTCATGATTAGTTAGTTCATTACAGTTTTTGTTTCATTTACATTATGGATTGAAGAGATGGACTGAGTTCAACCTGCAGGAGGTTCATATGCTGCTTCTTAGTACCTTCTATGCAATCTTAGAGAACTTGCTTAACATTTGTTCAACTATAAAATGGAGCTGTAAAAGTATTCTTAAAAGTTTCATGGGAATTTCAAAGAATTATATATAAAATTTTAGATCTTCTGGGTGTAACTATAGTAAACAATTGATAAATGTTAACTTCTTTCTAGTCATTACTATAAAATTTTCATTTAGTCATTTAAATCTACTTTGTTAACCATATTAAACCTTTTTCATTTTAGTAATTCTCATATGTTTAAATCTTTAGGATTAAAAGTCTTTACAATCTGGGGGCTGGAGGCACACACCTGTAATCCTAGCTACACAGGAGGCTGAGATCTGAGGATGGCAGTTTAAAGCCAGCTTAGGCAGGAAAGTCTGTGAAACTTATCTCCAATTAACCACTAGAAAACTGGAAAGTGGAGATGTGACTCAAAATGGTAGAGTGATAGTTCTCTGAAAAGAGAGCTCAGGGATGGTGCCCAGGCCCAAAGTTCAAGCTCTACAACTGACAAAAAAAAAGGGGAAAATTTACATATATTGAAACACGTGTAAAAAGCCAAAGACCCAATATTTGAAGCTAATTTTCATGTTCTGCTTTAATTTTTTAGACATTAAATATAAATGCACAAACTGAAACTCTGGAGTCAAAATGTAATTGATACATTTGTTTTAAATAAATGCATGCATCTGTTAAGCAAAATAAAACTACATGTATATGATACATTCATATCAGCTTTTCATCACAGCTTTGTCTGGCAGCAGCTCCACTGTCTGATGGATTCCCTGGTGGATGGGAACCACACTGCAGTGACAGAGTTCATTCTACTGGGCTTAACACATGATCCAGTCCTTCGAGTCATCCTCTTCCTCATCATCCTGTGCATCTATCTGGTGACGGTATCTGGCAATCTTTGCACAATTCTCCTTATCAGACTTTCTTCTCTGGTCAACCATCCCATGTACTTTTTTCTCAGCCATTTAGCCTTTGCTGACATAGCCTTGTCAACTTCAGTCACACCCAACATGCTTGTTAACTTCCTAATGGACAAAAATGCCATCTCTTTGCATGGATGTGCCTTCCAGCTTGGCTCAGTTGCTGTCTTTGGGGCAACTGACTGTCTCCTTCTGGCTGCCATGGCTTATGATCGCTTCATGGCCATCTGTAACCCCCTGCTGTATTCAACCAAAATGTCCTCCCAAGTCTGTGTCCAGTTAATCATGGTGGCTTATGCAGGTGGTTTTCTCAATGGCTGCACTTTTACTACATGTGTCTATGTTTTACCTTTCTGTGGACCCAATAGGGTCAATCATTTCTTCTGTGACTTTGCTCCTTTAGTTGAATTGTCCTGTTCTGATGTCAGTATCATCACAGTTGTTGCCTCAAGTTCCGCTGGCTCATCAATTATGTTCACAGCGATTGTCATAGCCATCTCCTACATCTATATCCTCACCACCATCCTGAAGATGCGCTCCACTGAGGGCCGCCACAAGGCCTTCTCCACCTGCACCTCCCACCTCAGTGCAGTCACTTTGTACTACGGGACCATTACATTCATTTATGTGTTGCCCAAGTCCATGTACTCCACTGACCAGAACAAGGTGATATCTGTGTTCTACATGGTAGTGATCCCCATGTTGAACCCCCTGATCTACAGTCTCAGGAACAAGGATATTAAGGAAGCACTGAAAAGACAGATGAGTAGGAAAATATTTTCTTAGTATCTTTTAGTTCACAATATTTTATATAGTAATACTATCACATTCAACTGTTAATGATAGGCAATAATCTGTGGCCAGTTAAGCAAAGTGAACTCCAAGATAGGGACACGCGTGGTTTTTTTCTTCCTTGCTGTTGTTTCTAACATATTTTTAAGGTACCATGTGATTTTTTTGTTGCTTTGTATGTTCCTCCCCCATGGTATAACCTCTGTTTTCACTGTATTTGACGTTGGTATAATTTGGGCAGGGGAAGGGAAAAAGCAAAATGTTTAAATAGGGATACAGATTGACCCATTGCAACAATGAGCTGTACAAGATGCTATGTTGAAAAATGAACTTTACAATTTAGGCAGGGAGGAGGGGATTGAGGAGGTGGGAGGGATGGGATGGTAGGGGAAAATCAAAGGAGGAGGCAACAATACTGGATAAGAAATGTCCTCATTACCTTGCTCATGTAACTGTAACCCCTCTGTATGGTATTTTCACAATAAAAAAACTTATTTAAAAACAAAAATTTCCAGTGGTGACTTTTTTAGTAAATATAGAGGGTTGGTAAATGTTCAGATATTAACCACTATGTCACAGGTGAATAACAAGTTTCCTTTAATGAACTTAAATTTTAATTAAGAAATCACATTATTTTCCATAAAATATTATTTTCAAGTTATTTTTAATCTTATTTATACTTAAAATACTTTGTGCTATAAATTCGATGTTGCTGCTAATATAAATCTTTAAGAGTGTTTGATTTTTCAATAGTACCTCATCCTGAAAAATGATTGATAACTATCTTTATGATTGGCTATACATTCTGGTAGTAAATGACTAAGTAAGACACAAAATCATTTTATATGTTTTATTGTGGTAAATTTATCTGCTAGTCTGGAAATGACAGATTAGGTTCCGCTTTCTTTCTTTTCTTTCTTTCTTCTTTCTTTCTTTCTTTCTCTCTTTCTTTCTCTCTTTCTTTCTTTCTTTCTTTCTTTCTTTCTTTCTTTCTTTCTTTCTTTCTTTCTTTCTTTCTTTCGGTTGTTGGTCATGGGGCTTGAACTCTGGGCTTGAGCGCTGTCCCTGCGCTCTTCAGCTCAAGGTGAGTGCTCTACTGCTTGAGCCACAGTGCCACTTCCTCAGTTATCTTTCTGCTATGGCATAAGATCTCTTTATTGCCATTTACAACAACACTGCTGTATTCAACCAAAATGTTCATACAGGTCTGTGTCTATTAGCTCTTATTATCTTATGTGGGTGGTTTTCTCAGTAGCTTTTCTTTCTTTATATGCTTCTATACTGTACTCTTCTGTGTACTAAATGGAAGCAATCATTTTTCCTATCAGTTTGCTTTGAGTTCTTCTGTTCTGATGTCAGTGTCCCCACAATTGTTTCCTCAATGTTTACCTCATCCTTATGGGTATAGTATGTGTTATCTCCATCTCCAATCTCCATATTGTAGTATTTGTTACCTCTGTGTGCCTATAAAAGCCTTGTCTGGGTTTATATCTCCAGGAATTCTGGTCAGTATATTCAATCTGCTTACCTGCCTGTGGATTTGGGAACTACAGTCCAACAGTTGCATAATGTACACCCTTAAAATCTGTGTCCCTATCTTTTCACTTGCTCCATAGAATGATCTGTGAACATATGTGTGTATATGTGTCTGTGCCTGCCTATATGTGTGTATATGTGTCTTGCTTGCCTATATGTGTGTATATGTGTATATGTATATGTATATATATGTATATATATATGTATATATATGTATATGTATATGTATATCCTATTTCTCTGGAGAAGTCTAGCTAATACAACCCCTTACAGGCATTCCTTTTACGTCTTACTTTTTTATGCCATACATACCAACCATAGACATAATCTAAAAAATTTCTTTCTTGATAAAGTTTGTATGGACCTTAGCATAAAAATCAAAATTTCTCAGTATGTCTTAAAATTTCCTAAATAAGTTCTTAGGAGAAAATCTCATTCACCTTGATGCACACGCTTTTGTAATCAACCTTCTTATCTTCTTTCAAATCCTTGACCATGGACATGTTCTTAGCAGCCTCAGGACCCTCCCTCATGCAGTTCCTCTACTTGTAGCACATGCATCCTTTCACCTAAGCAATGCCTACCCGTGATACCTCTATCTGCCTATACGCTGTTTGCTTCCTTCTTACTAGCCTTTTAAAAATTCTATACTTAATTCACAGCCTTGTTAAAGCCTGTGTAGAAAAATCCTGTGCACTTTCTTCAAAATACAGCACTAGTAGCTTCCTATTCAATATTTGTTCTTAAACAATGAAAGAAGCTCACGTAGACAGCTCTAATAACACTGTCGTCCCTCGGTAACTAATTTTCATGGACCGTGATACTTAAACTCATATTTAATATGAATGAAAAAAAACAATTCACTAATGGATGGCTGAAGTAACTTCTTTTTGTGTTTAAACCATTAAGTCTGCTGACTTTGAGTTCCAATTTTACTGAGGATATAACTGAGGCAAATACAAGTTAAGTGATAGATCAAGCTCAAAATATCCTTTTATCATTCATTCTCTTAAGGAATACACTCTAAAAAATGAATACACTCTGAGGAAGAGGGTAGGGATAAAGAGAACACAGAGGACATTTTTTACTGACACATTTCTTTCTAGAAAACCTTGAAGTACAGATGGAGTTGTCCACATCAGAACATGGCAGGCTACTTTTCACATTCCCAGCCGAGACTAGCTTTCTGTACCAAAACAAATAATAAGCTGGATAAATATATTTAAATATTCAAATGCATAGCTTCCTGTATACAATAATGTCTATAACCCCATTCTTCCCCGGATATTCTACTTATTACTGAAAAGAAACTGTACATGGAATACAACAAGCAAATCTGCAGATATTCTGAAAGGTTGTAAAGGGAATTGTTCAGAAGTTTCAACACTTGGGGAACCACATAGCAGTAGGTCCCTTGTGTTTCATTAGATTTCCATGTGTTTGGAAAGGGTAAAGCAAAGCTATCAACTCAAAACTATCTATAGACAGACAAAACAGGAAAACCTGTGCTTTCCAATCAGAAAATTGGAAGAGGAAATCACTGAAGACAAACATATCATACTTCACACAAACACAAATGAAAAACAATACTATCCTCCTATTACCCTAGGTTTCATTGGGGCCAATCCAAGGGCTCACCTTCACCCCATCCTCATTCCGTACTTGGAAAGTGTAATTCTACCTGGGCAATGAACCTCCACGATCACCTGGCAGCCACAGATCTAATGAGATGGAATGAGATGGGCTAACTTGGTATTATTCTGCCTCCCCACCATGACTGTTGCTCTATGGCAAGCTGACCTTCCATTTTCCCTACGATTGACCTGTATGCTCAACCTTTTAGGACAAATATGTAGTTTTGAATGCTAGTACATGTCAAGTCTTTTTCAAATTTTATTTATTTATTTATTTTAGTTTCAAGGTTTTTTCTTTTAAGTGGAGTATAGTAAGAGATATTAGAAACAGCATATGTCTACATGCTGTTACTTAGTGACTTTCTTATTTTTGTCACCTTTGAGATATCATTCTGCATTTTCTACCTCAAAATGAAGTCCTATTTTAGATTTTCTATGCTTCATTTCATGTTACTATAAATATTTTTCTTTTTGCAAAAAAATTAGGTTTTTATATCTCCAAACCTTTACTTCTTTCACATCATTACACTTAGGTGGAGGAAAATTAGATTGTAAATCTTGCTTATAGGTATAATTAAGAATTTTCTCAACCTATGTTTCTTTGGGTCTGGCTTACTTGGCTTAATATGATGTTTTTCCAAGTCTTTCCATTACCTTATTAATAGTGCAATATCATTCTTTCTGGATGGAGGCCTACAATTCCATTGTATACATATACCACATTTTCTTGATCCATTCATCCATGAAGGGGACCTGTGTTGATTCCATATATTGGCTATGGTAAATAATTCTGCAACAACCTGATTCTACTTGCAGTTATACTGGTTTCCCTCATTTATGGTAATTAGAATGTGCCTATAAATCTACTAGCAAACACAATGGATGGTAAAAGACAAAAAGTTACACTTGGATATAAACTAAGCAGGACTCTAAACCTTCACATAGTGAGACTAAAAGAGGATATTCTTAGGAGAGGTTCACAAAAGCTCAATAGCTATGGGTATATGATCATATAAAATAAGGTTTATCAAAATGAACTCCAATAAGGGAAACAAGAGTTTTTAGTTATTTTGATTTTTGGGGTGTGTGTGTGTGTGTGTGTGTGTGTGTGTGTGTGTGTGTGTGTGTGTGTGTGTATGTGTGTGTGTGTGTGTGTGTGTGTGTGTGTGTGTATGTATGTATGTATGTCTTTTCTACTTTGTCCCTGCTTTCAATTTCTGTACCTTTTTTCTTATTTGTGAGTTTATCTGTTGTTGAGAGGGTTGATAGCACAGAAATGGCAGGACAAAGTGAACAAATGCAGCAGTGATATTCACTAAACACTGTGTTGAAAATTAACTTTACAACTTGTTGGGGAGGGGGGCAGGAGGGAAAAAAATGGGATTAAATGAGGGAAAAGGTAACACTTCGAAAAGAAATATACTCACTACTTGATTTATATAATTGTAGCCCCTCTGTACATCACCTTTACACCATACATACATACAGACAGACAGACAGACAGACGGACAGACAGCAATAGTTGTCTCAGTAGTTTTTTTTGAGCTGGGAGTGCCTGGACCCCAGGAAATCTCTCCTTTCCCTTTCTAGTCTCACTGAAATGGCAGTAGGCTTATTCTTTTTTTTTTTTTTTTAGTCAGTTGAGGGGCCTGAACTCTTGGCCTGGGTGCTGTCCCTCAGCTCTTCAGCTCAAGGATAGCACTCTACCACTGAGCCACAGCACCACTTCTGGCTTTTTCTGCTTATGCGGTGCTGAGGAATCAAACCCAGGGCCTCATGCATGCGAGGCAAGCACTCTACCACTGAGCCACCTTCCCAGCCCGA